TAAAAATGCTAATATTTTGCGCCCCCCCCCAAAGTCTACAGCAGTGTTACAAAAGCAAGAACAGAACTTACTACTGTAGCCTTGAATGTGTGAAGGCGAAAAACCCATGGGCTGTATGGGATCAAAAAAACTGAAAGCCATGCTTACACACATGCATACATGTGTGTATGTATGCATAGTAGAATGTGTATATAGTGAGAAGAAGTCTGCAAATTCAACTTGATGGGGACTGAAAAATTATCCAAAATTTTGAGTTTTACAGAAGGAGTGATAGGTTATTCCCAGCTATAATATTTTGTTCAACACCCAAATCCATAGCAGTTTTATTAATACTTTCATCTTTGTCCAGTCTCTTAATGTATCCAGTTTCATTTCCATTACCAAGTTAAATTACTTTTGACATTCAGTTGCACAGACAGTACAACATTTGTAAGCCTGGATATAAACTGAGAAATTCTATCTAGAATAAATTGAAAGTTTAGCTTATACTAGAATACTGCCATAAATCTTCAGGCAAGGCCGGCTGCTAATGACCAACAACAAAAAGAAATGTTAGTGGTAATTGACAGTGGCTATCTGACTTTCTTCAGCCATTTTGTTAGAGAGAAGGAATTGGATAGATTGAAATTTCTGCAAAAAGAATTAAAGCATTCATCAAATTCACTTTATAGGTTCCAAAAAATAGTGTCACAAAGATGTGACAAAAATTGCAAAATCAGTATCTTTGAACAGAACGGGAGAATATGTGGACATTCATATGCATAAATATGCACTGTATTTACAAAAATACAGCAACTAAAACATATTTATACTGCTTATTAGAAATATTAGTCTAACTGTTAATGTATTGCCACATTATTTAAAAAATAATGTTCTGCTTAACCAGCAGATTTCAATTAAAAAAAAAAAGTGATCATCAATATACAGGATGTTGAGAAAATGGAAATTGAGTTTGCAAGACTCTGTTGTATGATGGGGGGGGGACACTTTTCTACTGGGCCAAATTGACAAAATTCAAACTTCATTTTCTATGTATCGGAAGTGAAACTTGGTATATATATTACATTTATATATAGCATTGTTCTAACATAAATATTTTCACACAAAATTGGATTTTTCCTGAAATAGCATATCAATTTTTTCATATTTCAATTCTGTGACTCAAATTATGCCTGAATATTAAACTTTGTAATTTTTGGTGAGAAATTTAGAGAAGTTTAAAAATTTATCTTTTTGAGTGTTTTTCAGTTTACAGCAAGAATAATTCAGTTGGTGAACTTCTTAATTTGTAGCAACCTATTTTCCTTTTTCTTTGTGCACAAGGGGGGGGGGGAGGAAGTCATCGTTAATACTTTCAAATAATTTTAACAAAGCACGTACACCACATTTTCGTTATTATCGCTTATAATAAGTATGCCAAATTTCAAAATGCGCCAAAATGTAAATTCATGTATATCTTAGGAAATTTTGAATAAAAAACTGTAATTTTTTGCAGGTATGCTTCGAAATACATCTTCTTTAAGATGATGGCAAAAATTTTATAGGTTATGATTCAAAATTTTTTTCGAAAAATTTATAACAATTATTTGAAAATACAAATTTTAAAAATAAATAATAAAAAATGGCGAAATTTATTTGGAATGAATCTAAATTTCGAAATATGAAAGGAAGACTCAAGTAAGTTTAATAAAAAAGAGATATTAATAAATAAATATCAAATTCGATTAACATTGAGAAGCTAAAATTCTGAGTGCGAAGTTTTTTAAAAACTACTCGTGCAATTTTTATAAAACTTGGCAGTTTGGCATTAGAGTCATAGAATCGAAATATGGGAAAAAATAGTATGTAATTTCTGAAAAAGTCTGATTTTGTGTCAAAATACCTGTAGTAGAACAATGCTATGTATAAATCCGGGCTTTGGAGACATGAAAAACGCAAGTTAAATTTCGTCAGGCGGCCCAGTAGAGCGGTATATATATAGAACAGTCCCATTTTTTTTTAGGGGGGGGGACAGGGTACACACATACACGTGTGTATTAAAAATGATGTAAAAGAATGCAAGTATAATAATTCATATTTCATGAGATGTTTGGTTGCTGGGAATATACAAATGCATATCAATAATAAAATAATTATCATAATATAATATGGAGCAAATGTAGAAATGCATTGCAAAATGGAGAAAATATCGCTTCAGATTAGTTTGCCATTTACTGTAACTTGGCATATTCATGTTTTTGTGATGAAATTTCTATTTTTAATGGCCTAGTACATTATTTTATTTACTTGGGAATCTATTGCCAGTTATTATTTTATTCTAATGCCTACTGTGTATTTCAGTTTATTTTTTGATTAGTATTTTTTTGAAAAATTACAAAAAATTTCAGGATGCATTAAAAAGCTGCCTATTTCATTCAGTTGGTTATATTAGTCACTCATAAGGAATAAAATTGTACAGATTTATTGCACATTTGAACTTTTTTTGTCTGTGTTTGAGCAAATTGCCATTTATGAGTATTCGTAGCTGTACTTTCATCTGTAATTTTCCATCTACCATTTTTATCCACATTTATTTACCTGGCTACATTTTTCACATACAGTACAAAGTCCGTAATCCGGATGTCCATTATCCGGAATGATCTATAATCCAGATCTTAAAGCCACAAACTTTTTTTTTTGTATGCTTTACGCATGCGCGTAAAAAATGCGCATACATTACGCGGCCTATACTTCAACAGTTATAACACCTTGGTTCGTTACTCTTATTAGGTATAGCGCGTGCTTTATTTTGTGTGTTAGTACTTGAATAACTCTTATTCTTCGTATCTGGAATGCGAACTTTCTCATAAATTTGTAATTTTTCTTTGAATTCAGAAATAGTTTTACGCCCATACAAAATAATTTTTGTTACTACTCTGATCGGGTATCCCATTGATTACATAATCAAGAATTGATGAATCATCAACAGAACCGCGACTGGCTATTTCACGCATGGCAATTAAATATTCGGAAAAAGATTCACCAGGTTTTAAGTTTCATTTAAGTCCTATTTAAATTATCCATTGTAAAAGAGCCTATTTTTTGGAGCATTTTTTAAAATGGAATGTAGCAATTACATTTACCAAATTTTAGGCAAAATGTTATTCAATTATTCATACTGTTACGTTATTTTCTTCCTTTACGTTCATACAGGGTTCGTAGATTTGGAGTGAATAACGATGACACTTGATGAAGTATCGAAGCACACTTTTATTTGGCCAATATTAATCAGGAAAGCTTTATTTGGGCCAATATTAATCAGTCTTTTACAGTCGTCAAACTTTTATAAACACGCTAACACTTTCAGCGACACAGCCTTCCCACTGTCGGGCAATAACGGTAGAGACAGCTTCACTGCAAAGCAACCGAGTACAGCTCCCAACTCTGCTTGGTCGTTCTCGGAACTCCACGTACGCGAGACTCTCCACGTGATGCACTCGAAGGTACACAAGATTATAGCTTTTGATTCAGCACAGTCTAAGACAAAACTCGACGATGCACTAAAAGACTCTCTTGATGCACTCGGCGCTAGACTTCGAGACACTCGCTCTCGCTCAATGACTGACTATCAGCTCGCTAGACAAGGTACACACACACTAACTGACTGCGAAGCAGGGTTAATGTAGCTTTCGGCTTGTGTTTGAGAACATTCTGGACTAAACCGGTAAGAATTCGTTCCAAAAGGTTCTCCATCCGTCCATGTTATATCACGCAAATTTTGTCGCCAAATGGGCGATTTCTCGCCAAATGTGGCAATGCCGCCCCTTGCCATTTTATGGAAACCCTAAAACTGCTTTGCAGGGAAGCTATCTTACCGCGCTTGTACATTTCGTAACAATATTCTATTATCAGCAGGTAAGTACAGGATGATCATAAAAAAAATTCCTTGATATATGAACCCCTAGTAGCCTATCTGCTTAACCATTCGAAATGAAATTTCAGATGTTGTTAATTGAAGGTATGTGTTCAAGATTGTGGTGATTTAAAAAACAGTAGAGCTCTCATGGTTATTGTGATTTCTATATATATATATATATTATTGAGCTTTCTTTTATTGGCTGTGGAATTGTAAAATTTAGGCAACAATCAGTTTTCTTCAGCCATAAACCTTGAATTGAACTGTTCTAAAAGTGATGACTGCTGGGTTTGTATGAAACATAGAATAATTTGTGACAGTAACAGTGATAAATATGGTATGAGATAAATCTGTCTGACAACTGGCTTAGTGACTAAAATTGGAAAACACTGGTAATTGACACCAGTTGTATTCTGGGGACTTAAATGAACTGGCTGAATGTCTCCCCGCCCATTTTAAGTGTAAATATAGACAAGTTTCTTTCAGGAAGTCGTGTACAAATATATTGTTTTCAAAGCTGAATAGCTCTAATATCCTTTGCCATAATTAGGAAATCAGATCCATTAAGATACAGTTTCTTTTATTGCCAGTCTTATATTATTGAGCAGTCAGATAACAAGGCATTAGTTAGATAACATGGCCACACTGGCAGGGTTCTCCTTTCCATTGTAACATTTTTGATATAAAACATCATCTTATCATTTTTAATATGACAAACTTAGCATGTATGTTGCATACCCATGAATTTAGCATATTTTTCTCATTTGACTGTTTTTGTAATATACAGCATATCAATTCTCAGTCTATACCTTCTCTTCAGGTACAGCTATTTAACCATACATATTGCAGGACAGCAATCAGCATGTATTTCGTACTCTGGTACAATGTCTAATCTTTTATAATACTGATTTAATAAAGTTACTGAAGGAAAAGATATGTAGGTTTTTTATGGGCTGGTAAAATATTTTTTTGACTTTTTGGGTCTTAAACCTAAGATCATCTCTACAAATGCTTTGCTTTTCATAATGGTATGAAATTGCACTTTTTTTGTTCATTTTCCTTTAGAAATATTTCAAATTAAATCAGTATAATTTTTTAATTTTAGGAGGAATGTGTAGAACGCTACAAAATTTTAGTGCAACAAATTAAGAAGAAGAAGGACAAATGTGTTTGACATATGTTAATTCACAAATGGAGCTTTCTGAAAGGAATTAAAGAAGTTCATTGCTGTTCTATGTATATACTTACTGTTTAAATGTAAGATATTTTAAGTCATGTAAAAAATGTTAATGTTTTCAATAAAGCAATTAATGTGCATTTATACACAATATCTAATGAATTTAATCTTCACGAAAGTGATATTTATTCTGTATGAGTAGCACTATTTGAGGATATCGTACCATTTGACTATGTGAGGGGCAAAAGTTTTGAAATTTTGATATACTAATTTGATACATGTAATAAAATTTGTATTTAAAAGTGCAAAATTTAAAAAAAAAAAAAAAGGAAAATTTTGATATTACTTAAATATTAAAAAAGTATCTTGTATGTTTTACTATAAACAAATAAGTTTTAAAAATGGTTTTAAGAATAGGCAATCTCTTGCAATAGCAAACCTGAATGAAAGGTAACAGTGCAGAATATGCAAGAAGTCTTGCTTCCTGCATTCAGGAAACTTCGTAGGTCTTTGAAACAAGTACTTTGGTCATTTTTCTAAGTTTCTATCAGTTTCTTCAGATGGAATTTTATTGAAACTGATTGCATTTGTGCAGTGTCACAGTTTCTCAAACCTGTCCTCACATGAAATGTATGTACTAAATGCCATTTATGATAAATGCACAGTTATCTGTATGCCAGTATTTTAAAACAATTTTTTCTTCTCTTGATAGGAAATCCTTTTATAGATGCAATACATGTATTAGAAAATGATAATGCATTTTATAGACACAATACTCATATTAGAAAATGATAATGCATTAATTCAAATGTGAATGGCACATCATGCATCCAGAAGCTTACATGGTCATTAAACAATGTAGATTAGAATCACACTGAAAATTTTTGGTTGATATTCTTGAATTTGAGAAGTTTAATTGCTGTGGAAAAAATAGCTCTAGATCGGTATGGTAATCTGATTATAAGTTTTCTATGATAAGTATTAAAAGTTATGGCATGAAATTTTGACCCATAATTTGATTTCATGAAATTTACATCACTTGCTTATATTTTGAACTAAATGGTTAGATTATTGTGGTTAAATTTTTTAATGTTAAAACTAAATGCTTTAGTTTTCCATCCTGTATGGCATGGTAATTAAAGAAGGCTGACTGCACATGTTGTGTTTAAGTTCAGATCCAGGGTAAAGCATAGGTGTTTATGGCTTTTAGCATTTTTGTTAAATGGAAACACTGAAATTTTGTCAATTTGAATGTCCTGTTGGGAGACTGGTGTGAAGGGAAAAGAGTCTTAAATTACTTTCCAGGGGTTCAGTGCAGATATTTCTCCTGTGCTTTGTTTAAATCAAGTCATTTTCACCAATCTTAATTTGGTTTGGCAACTTTCACATAGTTTTCCATTTACGTATTAATTTACCGTAATCATAGTTACAATTGTTTCATGTAAAATGATGGTAATAAAATAAGACAGACTTTCTTTTGTATGATAATTATTCTTATTTCTTCATATCTTTGAATGATTTTGCTATCATGATCCATAGTTTTTATGTGGTCAAATATTTTTTGGTAATACTGTATATGGTAGTTTAAGTAAACAAGATTAAAAAGGATTTTCTATAAGCAAATCCCTAGGTAAGAAATTAAACTAGAATTATTTTATGTAATCATACATAAAATAGGAAATTTATGAAATGATCTAGTGATATGAAACTCAGTATTACCTTACTGTATGGCACTACCCAAGGGCATATGAGTGTACAGGTTCTATCTGAGAAATTTATTATTATTGAGAAAGCTGTTGAAGATAAGAACGGTAGAACAGTAGAAACAGCTTCAAAACAGTAGAAAGCCTGGGGACCGATGGTTTCTATTAAATTGCCTCTGGTGCTAATACCTAAGATAATTAGAAATAATTTTACATAATATATATGTATTTCTTACATAAGTTTTCCAGTTTAGCTCAGAAATGTGTTAAGTATATAAATATTTGCATGATAAATAAAGCTAGTAAGTTAAAAAGAACTTTTTATATTAAAGTTTGTTAATTTTATATATGCATGTTCATGTTTTTAATTTAAAATTAATTTTAACAAATTTTCTGTAGAATTTGGATGAGTGAAGTTGCAGTAAAAGTATAGAAAAAATAAATGTTCAGTCAATAATACCTATTTAAATTTGCTATTTACTTTTTATTCTTGAATATTGAGTCACAAAATTTTTGAATGTATGCTGTTTCAGTGCTCATAATTCTTAACAATGATAATTTTAACAACAATGTTTATAATTTCTAAGACCTATATTTTGTATTCTTCGATCTCTTCAACCATTGCAAATATTTTACCATCCCAGAGTGGCAATATGTCTTCATTATCTGTCACTTCTTCAAAAACTATCTTTGTTCCAAATTCATTGCTGTATTTTTTAAAAAAATACCTAAAGAAAGAAAAGCAGTTATTTGGTATTATAAAAGTACATTTGAGAAACATTTTAAGCATTAGAAAGTATTTGATGTTGCAATATTCAGCCCAATTACAGCCAAAAATATATGCTTGTTGAATGATTGTACTAGGTAATTACAGATTCCATTCTCATTGATAGAATGAATCGGTTCCATGAGTATTTGGCAAGTTTTCACTTATTATCAGGGTGATCAGAAAATATGCAGAATTTTGGCTCACCAAAATTCCAAGGCATAGAAGTATGCTGAAATGTTTCTGAAATCGAAGATTTTACAAATCTTTACAATCTTGATATCATATCTTCTTTTTTCCCAGCTTTACTGAAATAATGTTTCATTAAATTTATTTATGGGTAAATAATGTCATATGGAAAACTGCATAATTTATCTTTTCATGCTATGAGTTTCGCTTACATGGAAATGGTACAGCAATTAGTCAAAAGACGTTTTCGGTACACACATGTACTATTAATGAATGTTTATGCTAAGCATGGTGTTAAAAAGTCTTGATGAGGATGCTATTCTTGAAGGAAATTAGAAATAGAGAGGAAATTGATGAGCTGAATATGTTGACAGAATTAGATCCATATATTATCAGTAAAACATTCACCAGATAGATCTCACTGTGCACATTACGCCTAGTGGCCGAGTAGTAAAGTTGCTGAATGCTGGTCATTTAGTCCGGGATTTGAATTCTGGCAAACGTTTTCATGCAAGGGCGTTTTTGTGGTTTTCTTTATTTGTAAAAAGTATACGAGCCAGTTTTCCTTAGAAAGTTCACCACGAAACCATCCCTGCACTCAGGCAAATAGCCTCGAGTGCTTTGCAATAATTAAATAATAGGCAAATAGCCTGGAGTGCTTCGCAATAATTAAATAAATCGAGCCACTGTGACCAATAAATTCTCTGCAATGAATAGGGAAATTTTCTTTTCATGGTGTTTGAGTTCCAAACAAGTTTACAATTGAAAACTTTCAGCAATGAGTATCAGTTTGCACATTTGACTAGAAATGAGAAGCATTTTATAAGGCATAATATGACTGGAGATGAAGAAAAGATTTTTCATACAGTATCATTGAGCCTGAAAGAAAAGCCTAGTCTTACAGAAAAACCATGATCTCATCTAAAGATTTTCTTATGCACATGGTAGGATATGGAAGATGTTATTTATTTTAAGCTGTTATAAAATAATTAAGCAATAAATATAGACATCTGTTGCTACTATTTCAAATTACCAGTTAGATAATTTGGAATAGACTTTAAAACAGCAGGTTACTGTATTAATCAACAAACCTGATATTCCCTCTTTATCAGAGTAAAGTTAAAAGTCAAACATTGCGAGAATGACTTAGCAAAAGCTTGATGAAAGGGAATTAATCTGCTTAGCAGTCCAGATAGTATCCTTTCCAATTATTATTATTATTATTATTTATTATATTTCCATCTCTGAAGAATTTTCATGTTTGCAAAACTTACACATTAAGCATGAGGTTGAAAATGCAATAATTAAATATTTTGCTATAAACATATAGAATTCTTCAAAAGAAAGATTGATATTTTCCTAAAATGTGGACAGACTTGATAAGAAATAGTGGATACATCATCAGTAGTTAAATTTATGTTACAACATTTCCCCCTCTCAACTCTAGTTATAATTGTTTGTTTCGATTCTGCATTGTTTTCTGAGTTACTAGAACATACCAGCACCAATATCAATATCAGCCGTACCCATGGGACGACTTTTTTCACCACTCAGATAAATTCAGTTATATTAACAATTAGTTACAGTAGACCTTTGCCGAATACAGATATGCAGAATATGATTTTGCGCATACAAGTAATTTTATTCTTTTCCATTTAGTTTATCCCACCACTAGAATTTCATTGATAAGCAATATTCTGCAAAGTGTCGTACTCAGAATATTGCATTCCAGATGTAGAAATTTTATTCCTTTCATCTAAACTACTTCCTTAATCTAACCCAGGCTCATAAAACATTCAAAGCCTGTCATGTCAGGCTTAAACATTTGCAAATGCGGAACTAGACGAAGGAAAGCACAAGACGCTAAAAGCATTTTAGGAAACAATTCTACATAAGCCGGAAATATAAAATGCATATAAATAAAATTTATGTACATGTAATGAAAATAAGACAGAGCAGTGTTAATAAGCAATACCTAGATAATAAGATAGATCGAGGAAGAAATCTGATTGCGTAGTATGCTAATATGTTGAGTTCGTAATATCTAAGAAACTTGGCAGTCGAGGCAGTTTTAATACCATTTTTATGTGCAATTGACATTTGTGGCCACAGTTCACTTGGCACTCTAGTCGTGCCTATTCAAGAACATTTACATTTTTGATACTGTGATAGGAAGCGAGCACAACGAAACCCGACCAAGCAGCACAGAAGTTCAAGCTGAAAGTGGCGCATTTATCCAATATGTAAGCTCGCCAGTAGGAAGGTTTTGGTTTAGTTTAGAAAGTTTCAGTTCCCAAGAGTTAATGTCATCAGTTTTGCACAGTCCGTGCAAGATGGATTGATCTAGAAATGACTCATTCCAGAGAAGTTATGATATTTAGAACAGAGAGAGAGAATTAAAGGGTTACCGTTAGTTTAAATTATAATTTTGATTTACATATTTTTTATCTTACATATATATATGCAGGATTTATTATATGCATTTTATAAATAGAAATATAAAATGCATATAATAAACCCTGCATATAAATGATTAAAACCGCATGGGAACAAGTGAATTCATTAACAGTGATTGAAAATGAAGCTAAAGAAATCCTACAAATTGCCAAATAAATTGGCAGCGAAAGACTTTCTGATATGTAAGGAGGAAAAGTAAAAGAATTGATCGAAAAATGACGAATGAAAAAATGTATGATCGTATAACTTATAGATGTATGATCTTAAAAATGATCGTATAACTTATAGATGTATGATCTTAAAAATGATTGTATCAAGGATGTACTTATTAAGCTGTAATAAAAATCCTTTCAATTAACATTTGCGTCACTTTGGCCTTCTAATTAGAAAAATATTTAGAATTTTTTTAAATTATACATATGTTTTAAAATTGAATGAGCACATTTTTTCTACAAGAAGTTAACTTTGCGGATGGCGACTTAGCCGTATGCGCAGTTTATTAATGAAGTACCCCCTCGCGTGTTTTATACATAAGAAAATGTATAAAAACATTTCAGCATGAATGAAATCAGTTCACTCTTTCCAAGCAATAACCAATTCGTAGAAATTTTTTTGTAGCCAAACCAAGAAACAAAAACTTTTGTCACTTTAGGTTAATACGTATACGTATGACGTCATGATTAGCCCAGAAAGGCTGCTGTCTCGAAACGGCATATTGTGCCGGTTTACTATAAATGGCGTATCACTTTTTAATTTGTTGCCAACAAATATTATCGCCCTGTATTATATTTAAAGAAATTAAATAATGAAGAATCTGCATGCATATATGCATGTTTCTAGCACTGTGAAAAAATGACGGTATCTAGAACCATCAAATTTTGAATGACGTAATCTCCACCCTAATATGGGCACCTGGAAGTCGGAATTTTTAATTTCGAATTTGTTTTATTATCTATGTTATATTTTGTAAAGCTTTAACGAATTTTTGATTAACAAATTCAACGATTTTAAGGCGAGCAGTTGCAACACTATACGGAGAAAAACATTTTTATCTCCAGCCCACAGACTGTCTGCCGGAAATTTAAAGATGTGCTGTTTTTAAATATTTTGTGATACTGCTGTTGAACTGAATTTTGTGTGGATTAAGTGAAAGAATATGATGTTTAATAAAGGTAACACACAAAACGTTAAAAAAGCACACCTTTGGACGTAATATAAAAAGAAAAGTTACAAACTTTTAATTAACAAATTGTACAATTTGAAAGCAAGCAGTGGCAACGCTTTTCGAAATGTAGCAGATTTTTATTTCCAGCATGCGAGACTGTTACCACTCGGAAAAGTGAGGGCGAAAATAAGCGTTTTCAGAGTTTTTAATGAATATCTCGGCTAAGTAGTCTTACGAAGATGAGAATTGACGAAATGGAACCCACGAACTTTTGGAATCCGGGTAGAGGGGAGGGTACCTCTCTCGAAACTCAGCTCCCAGCTATAGCTATAGTATACTAGAAGATTTTCTAGTACACTATATCCCAGCCGTTCCGGAGGAGATAATGCCACAAACAACCCACCGGACAGACGCGTACAGATTTTAATAGTAAAAATACTGTGCTATTCAAAAAATGTATTTTATAACAGGTCTTGTATGCCAATGTAACAGATTTCCGGAGAAATGATGTTCAATTCCGTATGGCATGACCTAGGATGGATGTCATTTTCGTGGTGTATAGTCTGCATTTTGAAAAATCAAAAATATACTGAAGTTATGAAATATTATCCAGAGTCAGTTAAGTGGTAAAGATATTTCTACAAACCATTATTTGGTATGTGGAATAAAGCTTACCTGAAGTTTCCTTTTCTGTTAAATAAGGTCTTGAAATGGGCGAGAGTAATGTGTTTTCCTCTGACTTTTGTCCGGTAAGGGACGGGGTTCCCAGCAAAACAGTAACCAATAATAGTCACATCATCCTTCTGAGTTTCATTAGAGTTTCGTATTGCATGAGGTCTAAAAGCATTTGCATAACTTTTATTTAATTCGTATCATATTCATACATTTCTTCAAGCATTTAACATGCATATATATATATATATATGTATGTGTATGTAATATATAATGTATATGTAATTCAATATAAGTTAATGATCTTTACGTCATTTTATAAAAATTTCAATTTCAGGCTTTTTAAAAAAAGGAATACATTTTTGGCTGATTATTTCTATGTGATTTTGATAATCGCGAAGTGTTATTTTTTATATATATATTTACAACTGCATAAATTTTTGTATTTAATAGGGTTTGTTCGATTCTTAATGTCTTTAGGGTTTTTGAAAACTATTTTTAGTCCATAAAAATCCTTAATTTCGGCCAAAATTTGTAAAGGGTCCTTGATTTGGCTCATCTGACATTTTCTTCCTTTTTCTGTAAATATCATTCCGAGCGTCAGTTAGTATTTTAGATGAATAGAGAGATGAAACATTCTGCCGGCGCATATCGGAACAATTGTAAAATAACGTTGTAAATAAGAAAAAATCAGCCTTCTCGGAACGATAGTTTGAGTTGTCTTCCTGCATTGATTAAAAAAAAAAAGTTTTTGTATTACTTTGACCTTACCGCCATGATTGAACCTATTGTGACAAAATGTAATTTTTAAGAAAGTCAAAGGTCAAACTTCACAAAGGACATACTTCCACCCATTGTTATCAATAAATCTGGAAATTCTTCAAGGACTGATTCCTCGCCAAGGCGACTGAAGGCTGTCCAACCAAGATTTGGAGTATCAAACAGCCGACTGGTATTTAAAAGTACCTTGGTGTCAGCAATACCTTGGAATGCATCCAACTTGGTATACGTCCGTTTTGAAATACTTCCAACTTGGTACAACTGTCTGGAAGCGAAAATCTTTGTTTGGAATACGACATTTGTTTGGAATATTATTTCAGTTCGAAGAAGCCATGACTACGGGCACTACTTTTGTTTACCTGTTTTGAGACGTTGTTTTACATACTACGACTACTCATGAGCGTCAGTACGCCTGTTGCTACGATTCAGTAAACAACCCACGAGCTCTGAATTTTCACTCGGTTTTTTGTGCGCTTATAATGAGTTTGGAGAAATTTAATGAGAAGAGTCAAGTAAGGAAGAAAATGGATATGGGGTAAAAGGGAGGTGGAAAAAGGGATTGTTGGGAAAAGCATGAAACAACAGTATGCGTATCCGGGATTTGGCTATTATATACCGTATGGCAAGAACGACTTTATCTGCGATTGTAAAAACTGAATACACTATTAAATCAGCTAAATTTGCGAAATGTGAAATCGATTGCCAAACAAAGAATGTAGATGATAGAGAATGCTAAAAAAATTGTTTTTGATCTGGATAGCAGAAAAAAAAATTGTGCAGTATCATATGCAGTGCCGCATTTATATACAGTACACATTTCATCCATTGCATTTGTAATTTTAGTATTAATCAGTGTTGTGATAATAACATTAGGCTTTCTTTAATAAAAAGCAGTTAATCGTTTTCTCTTTATTACTAATTGGAAAAGCTCATTTGGAATATGTCCAAGGATCTTGAACGGAATTAATGACGTATACCGAGGTACCAGTGTACACTGGTGTGCAAAAATTAAGGACGAGACGGTTTTTTCAATATAACTTTGTACAAAAGCTTTCCAAATCAACACATTTAATACCGTAAGATCCCCAATATGTAAGGACATGAGTAATGTAAGCAACACTTACTAAAAGAGAAATCAGAGGGATAAAAGAAGCTTTATTGAAAAAAGTAGCATGGAGCGCAATGCGACTGAAGGCCGAACGAAACATCCCTGTGATGGGTGTCCAGCAAGAAACATCCGGTCTTTAATAGGGGATATGATCTCCCCTGACTGCTAGGCAGGTTTCACAGCGTCGCCCATGCTGAGAATGAGGGTGTCAATGAGTTGTTGAGGCATGCTGCCCATTCGTCTTGCAGCGCCAATCGAAGCTCCGGAATCATTACTGGTGGTAAGGCACGAGCTGCCAAGCGTCTGCCTAGAAAATCCCATACATGCTCGATGGGATTGAGATCCGGAGATCGTGCCGGCCAATCCATACGTTCAATATCCTCACTCTCTAAGAGCTGTTCGGCAGCTACTGTGCGATGACATGGTGCATTGTCGTCCATGAAAAGGAACTGCGGACCCATAGCGCCTCTAAAAAGACGCACATATGGAAGAAGAATCTCGTTACAATAACGGGTCTCGTTGACTGAACCTGCGTCGAAGATGTGAAGGTTTGTACGACTACCAAGCATGATGCCTTCCCAAACGAGAACACCGCCACCTCCATACCTGTCCCTTTCAATGATGTTTGAGGGATGATTGCGGCTTCCCCGCTCTCTCCAGATGAGTATGCGATGAGAATCGCTACTCAGACTGAATCTGCTCTCATCTGTAAAGAGTACTCGTCCCCATTCATTGTCTCTCCAATTTCGGTGTTCCCGGCACCACAGAGAACGCCTTCTCCGATGGGCAGGCGTTAGAGGTACTCACCGCACAGGGCGTCGTGCAAACAGACCACCACCGTGCAGTCTTCTGGCCACGATAAAACGCGATATTTGTCGTCCAGTCGCCTGTGTCGTGTGTCTAGCGATTTCTCCCGCTGTCTGCCGCCTGTTTCTTCTGGCCTGTAAGGCAATATACCGGTCATCTGCGGGTGTGGTTCTTCGTGGACGACCACTACTAAACCCCCGGATAGCTGTTCCTGTAGTTTGAAATTGTCTCCAAAGTCGTGAAACAATGCTGTGAGCAATTCCGAACTCTGCAGCCACACTTGTCACACTGCTGCCTTCCTTCAACTTCCCAATGATTCGACCTCGGGTAAAAGCATCCAGATGTCGTCTAACAGATTGATTATTCGCCATTTCTCGTTGAGGCAGCAACTCGGTGTGAACTGCTATACGGCGTGCAATCTCTTTGCCAGAAATACTGATCTTACATCGTCAACATACTTTATACTACTCAGACACTCCCCCATTACTTCTACCTGCATATCTGCGCATGTGCTATCGTACATCACCTTACTTAATCTCCTGATTGGTCTTTCTGTCCGCTCTGCCTTTTCGTTCAGCTGATATGCTAATTTTTCGACTTCGTCCTTAATTTTTGCACACCGGTGTATATAATCGAACTTGACAGTACCGTTTCAGTTCTTGCAATGCTCGAACGGACCTCCGAGAAGGCAGTGACTCTCCGGAGACTTATCAACCACGACGTACAGAAGCCGCGAAAGACTAGCTTAGGTGGAGGGGAAACGGTTCGGACCGTTGATCATTGAAGGCAGAGGGAGTATTCGAACAATCTAAATCTGGAGAAGGCCACCTATGCGGATAATTCAACTATCCCCGCTCCAGTGTCAATATGAATGATGAGGAATATCTACGGTGTTTCTTTGAAGAAGAAACTACTAGTGAAATAAAAAAAAATTATACGTTTTTCATTCGACCATTTCAACAAAAACTGCTGCCAAATAGTGCGATTTAACGCTAATGATAAATAAACGTGACGACACAACACACTCATAAGATCTTCGCTTTGGTTTTGTGCAACCTTGATTAATTCTCGATAAGCCAGTTTTGTTTTCGTAAAAAGGAAGAAGGAATAGCACTAACTGAAAAAAACTGAAAGAAATTAACATTACTAACTGCTGCTTCTCTGTTTTTCGCTTGAATTTTGAGAAAATGCTTAAAATTTGAGATCTACTATCTACAGAATAGAAAGCAGTGGATTATTTCAAAGTTATGAGAACCTGCCATCACACTACAAACATCGAGCGACTCTGGGATCTGTTAAAAAGACGGAATGAAAAATACCGCAGAGTAGTCGATACAACTTAGAATCGTATTTAAGCAAATTTTTGTGGCGTTGAGTTCATAAAGAAGATGACTGTTTTGTTACTTTTTTAAATGGCATTAGAAACTGACTAGTGCAAGTTTTAATAAATTCGTCAGATAATTAAAATTCTGACCTCGTAATTATTTTAGTTCTTCATATACCAGTACTTTGTATCTATTGATTATATAACAAATTAAAAATGTGATCTGTGATTATTTAGCTGGAAAAAAATTAATTCTTTAAAAATAATTTATTCAGCATCGTTTAAAAATACTAAAAGTTACATTTAGTATTGGTTAAAAAAATTCTAAAAGGTTCTTTTATTTAGTATTGTTTAAAGATACTAAAATAGACTTATATACCCAATTAAAGATACTTACTTACAGTTAGTTAACAAAATTCGTGTTAACTTATCACTTCGAATTTAAGCCGCGCATCGTTTTACATTCTTAGGACGTAAAATTAGGATGCGGCTTGAATTCAAAGCAATTTTTTAACATTTTCTTTAATATTCCAATTTTAAAATCTTATTGTGGCTTAAATTTTAAGTAATATGATAGATTAGTGGGAAAATATTTCATAGATATGTTTTTTAATTATTCAATATTTAATAATGAAGTATCGTAATATATATAGTCACTTTACTTAACCTGTTCCGCCAAACTAAGCTAATGGCACTACAGGGCTAGGAAGTCATCCTAGTCATTGCTAGCAATCTGACAGTTAAGCTGCCTTTCTAGATTAATCTTTAGTTTCTTGGATATAATTATTTTCATTCACTTGCTTCATTATCTCTAAGATGCCCTTGTTGCAGTAATAATCCGTGAACAGTCTTTTCACAGGATATGTGATGTAGTCGGAAGGAAAGAACTGCTGTCGAAGGTGCTCTGTCAGAGGGCAGGAGAGCAGGTAATGAAGTGCGTCTGTGTCTTCCCCGCGAAAACCACACGAACAGTTGACGGCCCGTCTGAGAAATTGTCTGCAATACGCTGGGAATTTCCCGTGGTTGGTACAGGCCTGGAGGACAAGTCGGTTGCATTTGAGCCTCTTGAGAGAAGGTATTGAAAAGATGTTGTAAGTAAATCTTCCTGTCTCTTCTTCCTGCCATCAAGAATTAACAAGAGGAATCAGCGTAATTTTAACTTCATCTTACATGTGCGACTAAGGAAGCGGAAATAGGTCGCATTGTAATTGCGACTTATTATTTCACTCAGCATTATCCCAGTTCCGATTCCTGTATCAAATGAAGTTGATTTGGCTTGTTCCTTTTAGTTTCATAAGTTTTACATAAATAATGTGAGTATCAAATATTTTTTTTAAACCTTGCATAAAATATAATAATAATAATAATAATAATAATAATAATAATAATTAAAAAAAATCATTCCTCTACTAAAACGCTGGTATTATCTGACAGAATGTTGCATAAAAAATTCTATGTGTTTTCATTTAAGCTCGGGATTTTCTGCATCGCAAATGACTTTTGGCTGTATTTTCGTCTGCCGTGTGACTGCTTTTTGGACACCTACTAAACATGCCATGTGCGCTTGAGCAGTTACCTGGACGACATGCATACGCACTTAAAAGACGTTCATTAGTTCGCCAGAGAAAAAATCAACACAGCACTTGAAAGGCTAAAGACAAGATGCCATACTATGTCGACGTCAAGGAACGAGATTAAGTCTTGTTTTGAAATCTTAAGTGTCGTTGAGGAATCTAGCCCAGTTTGCAAACATTTTGTGAGGGACTCTTCCACGTCATCAAGAAAATAAAGGACGTATTGCTGTGCATACAAGAATGCCTTCTTCTATGCATAAAGTAGTATGACAGACTTGTACCTCATAAACTGATTATGATCGCTTTGAAACAGAAAATTTAAAATATAAATTAATAAACGTTTATATAATCAAAAAGATTTTACTGAAGTTATTTCTTGAGATATTAATTAACATTTCATCAAGTAAATGATTCGCTACTTGTCTGAAGCAATTTCAGTGATTAGAAAATACGTAAAAACCATACCAGATCAAATAATCTCTCTCCTTTTCCGAACGAATGTTAAATTTCAACTGCATATCAAAAATAATGTAAAACAGTTTTCAGATTGAGAAAGCGTCTGAAGAATTCTTTGAAAGAAGTTCAGATAAATGTAAGCTTTCTTAAATATTATTATTATTATTATCATCACGAAATGGCAATTTTCTAGATAAAGAATTTTTAGGGACTTCAGTGTTTTCCTTGGAGAGTAGATCGCCAACATTATACCATAATTTCCTGTGTAATTTTGTCCTGATCTCAGAATCACTGGAAAACTATCTGAATCATTTCATCATCTATCAAAAATTCTACAAAGAATTAGTTTCAAGGTATAAAAAGTACAGATGGGATCTGCGTAAGAAATGAATATGATTTATTAAAAAATTTAACATGATTTATGAAATGAAATTTCAGCTTACCTTTTCGTTTCAAGATTTTTTTTCTGACTGGCTATTTTTCGATTAATTCGCCAATTGTTTTCAAACTTCTGGTCTCCCCAGTGAACAGTTCGAACTCCTGTTGTTGTAATTCCAGTCTTAGAACTTGCCTTTGATGGCTTTTTTTTAGCTAATACTTTTGCAGAGTATTCCTAAATTCCAAATAAAAATTAGAATTCCTTTTGACTCCAAAATATATTATTCAATGTTTTAGTTATGTCAAGTACATTTTAAAATTTATATATTGTTATTCAGTATTAATGCAGAAGTATTCATATATGTTTTATTTTTCATATGGTTTATGAATAAATTATTATTTCTGTTCAAAAGAATTGCAGAATTTAGAAATATATAAAATTAGGCTTATAAACTTCTTGATTTGGTGTGTATCATAATGACAACATTCCTTAAATTGTAGAGAGCAAGTATAGAGACAAATAGTAAAGAGCAAATGTAATTTTATTGTGACAAAACACTTAGTGATTGATTTAAATGACCACAATATGAGCTTTTGAGAACATGTTTGAAAAAGTGGTTGAGCCAGCTGTGGCTCCTTGCAAAAAACCGCAACTTTTAGTATGGTAAGTAATACGTAATGTGTCTCAGAACTTCTCTAAAAGTTCATGGAACCTTTCATATAATGCAAATTTTCTGGAATCCTAACTGTGAACTTATATGGTATATTTGTTACGTAATAATTAACACGTCAACTTGCATGGTATATTTTTTACGTTTACTTGCATGTTATATTTACATAACTTGCGTTGTATATTTATTATGTTTTTTGTAATTAAATCAATGAATAAAAACACAGTTTTAAAAAATCATTTGATTATTCCTCATTATTAAATTACGGCCCGAGGATCCGTGTATAAGATCCGTGGATCGTCGTTTATGAACACTGATCAAAATTATCGAAATATATGTTTTATGAACCTACTGTTCTTTATTTACGAGGTGAACCTAGGCGAAATAGGGCTTCTTCGCTACTACCCCAAAAAGGAAAAGACAATAATTTATTTCATTTTAACGGAATTATAAATAGTTAAATATCTAGACTGATAAAATAATTATTTTACTGTGTAATTTTATTGAAACACTAGGTGTTTTGAATTTTATTTGATGAAAGTACATTTTATTTTTTAATCGTTTAATCTTAGCAGGAGTAATATATGGTGAAAGAAGATTAATGTTCTCACTCTTGCATTACATATGTGATACGGGCAAACAGAAAGAGAACAATTTTTCATTTTCCAGATGGACTGTGAACTTTAATTCGGGTATTCGTAATTTTTCAGTATGAAAATTTTAAACTTTCTTACAATTTATTCATGTGTATATCATGCGACATATGTAGAACAGATAACTGTGTAGAATGTCCGATTTTCCAACAAGGTTGTGCATTAATGCATTTTTTTAAAGAAAAAAAATGCTTTGAATTTTAGAGATCATTAAAAATGTTTCTATTGCAAAATTTTTACAATCTGCTAAAACTGTAAAAATTGAAAAGAGAATTTCTGTAGCGATATGTTTTGACGTCGATACATTGGTGTGATAAATTTTATATGGAGCTGAAAATGTTGATAATAGAAGTGAAATCTTACATCGAGGTAATATAATCGGCACGGTGAATATTTAAATATTAAAAGTAATGACGAATTTTAAAGATAAATATTTTTCGAAACTATGAAAGGTCTAATACGAAAATTCTTTTCTTAAATACTTTATAAGAATCGATAAAAGAGTTAAAGATTAGGAAAAGAACAAAATAAAATTTATTTAATCCTGTCTGCTTCTCTTTTAGGGTATGGTTCATGGGCAGATACAAAAAATGTTTAACGGGAAAAATGGAAAATAAAGGATTAGATGGAATTACTTATCTTAGAAAGAAAATTTCTTCTGGAAGCATAAGTTAAAACAAAAATGGGTAGCCAAAACTCTTGAAAATAGTTAAAGTTAGGAATTAGTGAAGTGAAGAAATGGATTCATTTGGGGTATTCATATTTCAGAAATAAAAGTAGTGGAAAGAATTAAAATTCTTTAAATCTCTTGGTATGAAAAAACTCGTTTGTATGGGTTAAATATACCTGCAGTGTTGTATTTTATGTATTGATATAATAGAAATTATCGCACTTGCATGGTTCTATAATTAATTATTCATTGTTATTTTTGCTAAAATTTATTGTTTTAAGCAAATGTGATTAATTTTTTTAACATTAAAATCAACATGAGGCTTTTTTTTTTTTTTTTTTTTTTTTTTTTTAAGAAAAAGAAATTCTTGTGCACCACAAAGTATCACACGAGACTTACAAATCGTAAGTAAAAAAGGCAAAATTGTAAGTAATATCATCAGTTTTCAACAATACAATGAAATCATACACAAGAGAAAAAAAAGTAAATACAAAAGTATAAAAATGTATAAAGAAATCATTAATAATGTTTAAAATAAAAGTCAACAAAATCGGTGAAAGCTCGGTAGGCCGAAGTCGAAGATACAAAATCATAACATTTTGGCGGCCAATGAATTCCAACTAATTTTAATCTACATTTCAAAAGATTCCTTGCTTTATCAAGCAATGGGCAGTCAAAAAGCAGGTGGAAAACACTTTGCTGAACGCTAAGACTGCAATTACACAAACTGGAAGATGTCAGCTTAAATCGTTCAAGATAAACATTAAACTTACCATGTCCAGACAAAAAGTGCGTAACTTTAAAATTGAGCAACAAGTCCTTACTTTTCAGTCTTTCAAAAATAGTTGGGAAGAATGTTTTTGTAACCCTTATCAGAAGAGATATAATCACAGTTCCACCGCTCAATCATTTTAGCTTTGAATGTTTTTTTAAAATAAGATTTTGGAATATTTACATCAACATTAATATCATTTTTAGTCGCATTCTTAGCAAGCCAATCAGCTCTCTCGTTTCCATAATTACCCGAATGACCACGGACAAATGTAAAAAACACTGAAGTACCCTTTTTCTCCAGATCTCCGAGAGACTGCTGTATATTAACAATAATATCATTACATAAAGAGATATTTTTAAGAGATTCCAGGGAAGAGAGTGAATCCGTACAGATTAAGTATCTGGAACCACGTCCATCCTGGCTAATTATCCACTTGATTGCAAAATTAATACACAAAAGCTCAGAAATATATACAGTACATTCATTTCTAATGCGAAATTGGTGACACTCAATTTCAATATCATCTTCAAAAATAACATAAGCAAAACTAACTTTATCATCAATCCTACTACCATCCGTATACAACACAAATGAGAATGAATTTACATCAGTGTCCATACTATCCAGAATCTGTACTGGTTGTCTTACAGAAGGATGTGGTAGGTGGAAATCCGGCAAGAGAGAAAACAGCATTGTAACTAATAGTTTGGTAACCGCTTATAACTGGCAGCAAAATTCGTCTTTGAACTCGAAGCAGGCGTTTAGAGTTAATTTTCTTTTTTAGAGACAATCCCCAAGCTCTACATCCATATGAAATAAAGGGTACAATGCCTTGTTTATAAATAATTGCGCTAACATTCGATTTAACACCAAAACTATTACATGCAATTCGATTCAGCCCACGCTGAAGTCTCTCAGATTTATTAGAAATGTAGGAAATATGCTTTTTCCAGTTAAATTTACTGTTCAACAAAACACCTAGATATTTAATTTCATTCGCCCTCTCAAGGGGATTGTCATTTAAAAGCAATTGATATCCTTCATAAGTAGTATTTTTTCTATCAATAAACATGGTCTTGGATATTGCATGGTTAAAGTTTAACTTAAAATCTATTGACCAATGATAAATGAAATCTAAAACATCTTGGGCGAGACGAAAAGCTTTTTGCATTTCTTTTTCTTGAATACAAATCAACAAATCATCTGCAAAGGCAATGACTTCACAACTGAAAAGATCAGAAAGTTTCTGTAAGAGATCATTCATAATAATAATCCAAAGCTTGGGACCGGAAACAGAGCCTTGTGGACATCCTCTCTGAGGTCGACGAACACTTGAGGTGCCACCCAGAAAAAGCTCGACCGTCCTGTCTTTCACCAAATTAGAAACAACGTTAAACACATTATGAGGTATTTTCATTTTTTTAGTAAATTAAGAATAGCAGGCCACCATGCATTATCAAAAGCTCCTTCAATATCAAGAAAAATTAAAATAGTGTACAAACCTCTCATCTTGCCCCTCTGTACAATGTTGCAGAAGTGCATCCCCAACACATTTTTGAACAATGAAACCATATTGGTCAGCACTAAGAATATTTTCTTTATGTAGATGCCAAGTAATTCTGTTAGTAATTAGTTTTTCAAAACATTTACCTAAAGAAGAAAGAAGACAGATACACCTAAGATTGTTCACATGTGGAACAGTAAAAGTTTGTTTCTTGGGTATCACAATAACGAGGGCGTTCTTCCAAGTTCGTGGAAAAGAACCAAGATTCAAACATATATTAAATAATCTATGAAAAACTGCAGGAAAAAGCCGATGAAAGTATCTTAGAGTTTCATTGGGAATAGAATCCGGGCCAGGAGTCTTGCCAAGCCTTAAATTACGAATTGCATCATCAACTTCGGCCTGCGAAAAAGGAGGATCAATCTGAGATGCATAACTACTGCGAGCAGATGAGCGCCACTGAGTATGAAAGTCATTATCAAGCCTCACACAATCAGGAGGAAATGCTTTATCAAGAATAGCATCGATAGTTTCCTCCAAGGAAGACGTAAAGTTACCGCTTGAAAGCCGAAGACCCGAGATCTCAATCTTCCTCATAAAATGTTCTTTAATACCGTAAGTGTAAATTTTTTCCACACATTCTCATTATTGATATCGGAAAGAAACTTCCTCCAAGACTCTAATTTGGCCTCAATAAGCATTTCATTGTATTTTTTCCTTAAATCAAGGTATTTCCGCTTATACAAATCCCTTATATCATTGCTAGTAGTCCTCTGAAGCCTCCGTCTAGCAGCGTTGACTCTCTTTCTCATAATGGAAATTTCCAATGACCACCCAGGTACTTTTCGCCTACCAGTCCTTCTAGTAGGCATAGATTCAATACATGCCCGAAAAATAACTGAAGTTATAAAATCTACAATCACATTAAGTGAGTCAGTGCTTGAGCAAGAATCCAAACCATT